TGTCCTGGCCCCACTGCTGGACCTCCTGATGGCCCCTGGTATTTTTGGCCACTGTGTGACAGAGTGTTGGACTGGTTGGGCCACTGGCCTGATCCGACATTGGCTTCTCTTAGGTTCTTATGCAGATTTGCTTTTTATTAACGTGAACATTAAAGAAGACTGTCGGAAATAAAAACAAAAGGGGTAAAAACAGATCTTGGTAATGATATTTAAAGAGACAAATGCTTTTTCCAAGCAAGTGGGGGGGGGGGCTTGGAGAACGCATTTAAAGTTAAAACTGCTTTCTTTCTCTGCTCCCCCCACCCCCAGCCTACCCAGGGAGGGGAACACTGGCTAGGGAAGGGAAGACCGGTTGGGGAGGCACACCTCCCCTTCACTTCCCCAGCCGCCCTGCTGGGAGCCGCACAATAGGCGTGGTAGAGTTGCACTTGGCTCCTGAGACGCAGTCTAGCCACCCCTGGAAGCCGAAATCCGGCGTGAGTGTAAATCGTGTAAATCGTGGCACGTGCGCTTGAGAGGAGCTGCCACTTCCATGTATGTAAAGCCCTGTGTCGGACTGGCTGCCGGATCTGACAGTCTGTCCACAGGTTGCCGGCTCTGGCTTGCAAAATTCCTGGAGATTTTGGGGGTGGAGGCCGGGGAGGGCAGGGTTTGGGATAGGGAGGGACTTCACTATCTCTCCCTTATATATAATTGAGTAAGACGCAGCGTCACGCAGCGGAGAGAAAATGCGCACCAACAGTGTTTGGAGGCTTGAACTATCCGTCAGAAGCTTCCCCAGCTTCCATTGGCCGTGTCGCCTAAGTCCCACCTCAGAACACAAAGGCTGTAGCCCTGCCTCTGCACCGGGTCCCCTCAGACGTCAGACTACTGCTGACAACCCCCTGGTGGGTGAGTGGAACCGGGGAGCACTTGAAGAGCAGCGGCATCGATAAGCCACTAGCCAAAAACTTCCTTCCTTCGTTCCTTCCTTCCTTCCTTCCTCCCTCCCTCCCTCCAACCCCCTCTATCTATCTATCCATCTACCTAGCTATCTACCACCCACCCACCCTACCTTTCTAGGGCCCATTGTATTCGTCCACAATGGGCTTTGCTCCCTAGTAGTGCCATAATTACGGTCCACACGGGACCATATCCAGCCTGTGCTGAGGATGCTGCACTGGCTGCCTATAGCGTACCAGGTTCGGTTCAAGGTGTGGGTTCTAACCTTTAAAGCCCTATATCAGTAATGGCAAACCTTTTAGAGACCGAGTGCCCAAACTGCGACCCAAAACCCACTTATTTATCGCAAAGTGCCAACACGGCAATTTAACCTGAATACTGAGGTTTTACTTTAGAAAAAAACAACTCATACATTAACCTAATATGATCCAAACAAAGTAAGGAAAGCAATCCCAAAGGCTTTCATTGACTTAAAATTATTTGGCAGAGAATTCGACACTTTAATGATGGTCTGGGCCTGGCTGGGGCGATGGCACACGTGCCCACAGAGAGGGCTCTGAGTGCCACCTCTGGCACCCGTGCCATAGGTTCGCCACCACTGCCCTATATGGTCAGGGGCCTGCCTATTTGAGGGACCGCCTTTCCCCATATGTCTCCCAGAGTGCACTGAGGTCAGGGTCACAACATCGCCTCTCTCTGGTTCGAACGAAGCCCGGCTGACTACTACCAGAGCCAGGGCCTTCTCAGTGGCGGCTCCGCAATGGTGGAATGAGCTCCCGGAGGACATCAGGGCCTTGCTCCTGCAGGGCCTGCAAGACGGAGCTCTTCCACCAGGCTTTCGATTAGGAGCCGCCACTGATGAATGTGCCCTGGAACATCTTCTGGCCTGGGACCCGGTTGGATGCTATTTCTACCATTGGGCTGATTTGGAATACCACCATCTATTCGCTTGTCTTTTTTAATCTGTAAATTGATGTTGTCTAATTTTGTACTGTATTTTTAACTCTTTTAACTCTGTATTGTTCTATGATATTTTAATCCTGTTAGCTGCCTTGAGCCAGAGTGTCCAGCAAGGCGGGATACAAATAGAAACAATAAATAAATAAATAAATAAACACCTTTCCAAAGCAGCCATTTTCTGATCTCTAACCTGGAGACCGGCTGTGATTCCGGGGCTATTTTTGGGCAGGAACACACAGGAACGGAGTTCCGGCTGGCTCCCAAGTCAGCCACGCCCAGCAGGAACTCATTAGCATAATAGACCACACCCAACAGCAGGAACTCATTAGGATTGGCTACATTAGGGGTGTGTGGCCTAACATGCAAAGGAGTCCCTGCTACAAAAAAAGGCCCTGGGTTTTGACAACAAACAAGGTAAACAGAATAACAAGCAAAAGGTGGGTGTGGCTATGGTAACCTAGGAATGCGGCTTAATATGCTAATGAGCTGTGATATCAGGGATGTGGCCTAATATGCTAATAGGTTTCTGCTGCTGGGTGTGGCCTATTATGCTAATGAGTTCCTGCTGGACTTTTTCTACAAAAAAAGCCCTGTGTGATTCTATGTACTAATTCTCATGGTCAAAAGCGCCTTCCCCTCTAGGAAGTGTGAACGGAGGTTCAGAATTGGACTATTGGTCTATTTAGAAAATTCACATGTTGCCTCTCTACAGAACCTGCTCAAGGTGCCTGAACCAAAGAAAACACAATGAAATCTGGAAACAGGATGAAAGTCACTAAAAATTAACAATCGAGAAACCATCCAGATGCTCTGCCCTCTTAAAATTTTTTCATAAAACAGTTTTCAGGCTAGAAATGGGCTGTAATCCCCCCCCCCAAGATCTGCCCCTTCATTAAAGCCTAGGGAAAGAAAAATGTTTTTGGCCTGGCACCTAGAAGAGAGCAGCAGAGGCGCGAGGTGAGCCTCCAGCAGGGAGGGCATGCCAAAGATGCGGTGCCACCACTGGAAAAGCCCTGTCTCTGGTCACCATCCACCACACCTCTGCAAGTGTGTGTGTGTGCGTGGCGGGGGAGGCACAGAGAACAGGGCTTCTGGAGAGGATCTTCACTTCTCAGCAGTATCCCTCCCGGAACACCCAGGAGGTACCATCTCTCTCTCTCCCTGCAAACTGTTCCTAAAAGCCCACCTGTTCAATGCAGCCTCTGGCGCATCATCCTCACTCCTCTCATCCGGCTGAAAATAAACCTAAATATCCATAACTGAACGAAGCGCACATCCTTCCCCTTTTACCCGAGCTCCTTTCTAACCCCCCCCCCATGTCAAATGGGAGCTCTCAGGGGCAGTGGCCGCTCTTACTCGATAAAGTGGCACGCACTCAGATAACTTGTTACGAAACCAGCTGTTGAGCTTGAAGGGCTGTTGGCCAGATGCCCGCTTCTTTGGAAGCAACTCTCATTGCCTTTCTCATTTTCTTCCTAAAGTACTGGGGGGTGGGGGGAGAGGGATTCGTTTTTTATCAACGGAACTGGGGAGTGGTTTTCACTATACCTTTAAAAAAAAACCCCAAACTAAGAACATAACGTAAGAACAGCCCTGCTGGGTCAGACCAGAGGTCTATCTAGTCCAGCGTCCTCACACAGTGGCCAACCAGTTCCTCTGGAGGGCCAACAACAGGGCAGAGAGGCCAAGGCCTTCCCCTGATAATAACACCAGAAGAGCCCTGCTGGGTCAGACCACTGAGGGTCCATCTAGTCCAGCCTCCTGTCTCACACAGTGGCCAACCAGTTCCTCTGGAGGGCCAACAACAGGGCAGAGAGGCCAAGGCCTTCCCCTGATAATAACACCAGAAGAGCCCTGCTGGGTCAGACCAGAGGTCCATTTAGTCCAGCGTCCTGTCTCACAAAGGGGCCAGCCAGTTTCTCTGAAGGTCCAACAATGGGCATCAAGGCCAAACCCTTGGTGTTTCCTCCTGGCACTGGGGCTCAGAGGTTTAGTCCCTCTGAATGTGGAGGTTCCTTTTAGTCACTATGGCTAGTAACCACTGATATCTTCCATGAATCTGTCTAATCCCCTTTAAAAGCTGTCTATGCCTGTGGTCCTCACCCCGTCCTCTGGAAGTGAATTCCACATTTTCATCACTCGCTGTGTAAAGAAGCATTCCCCAAACCTTCCAGTGCTTCTTAGGTTATGCAGAGGTTTTCATGATACGATGCCACTCACCTCGGTTAGGTTTGTGTCTCGAGTGTGAAACACTGTAGACCAGAACCAGGCATTCAAAGAAACCTGTAGACAGAAGGAGGGACAAAAAAAGATATCCTGAACTCACAGGCTGACTCGTATTCGCAGCCTGAGACCAGAAGGCTGAAGCTGGGCTCTGACATACGAATGCTACAAAAGTGTATGAAAACAAGCTGCTCAGCCAGGTGCCCGCCGGTCATATGAACGCTTGGAACCACAAGCTTAACGGGGTTCTCGATCCAGAATCAAAGGGCTGCAGAGATCGTCAGAAAAGGAGAAGTGTTTCCAGGAACCTTCGGCCGAATCTGCATTTTCATTTTTAAAGCAGTCTTGATGCCGTCTTTCTTTATACTGGTGTGATGCTTTTTTCAAAGTGGTACGAAAAAAATCTGCTATTTTTTTCTACTGGCCGGCCGGGAATGTTGTTGTTTTCCCTCTTCCCGGCATCCATTAGCTTTACACAAGGCAATAAATTACTTAAGGCAACAAGCCAACGAGCTATAAACTTCTCTTTACGTTCAAAGAGAAGGATTTTCTCAGCTTTCAGTTTTGCCCAGCTTTTGGTTTAAACAAGAAAGCAAAAATAGCCAAAATAGCCAAAAAAACCTGTAAAGACTGGGTGTTTAGTTTGCAGTATGTAGAAGGGATCTTTCGCTAACTTTTCAGGCAATATAAACATCACAAAACAAGATAAAATCATTCACTCTTAGCTTGCCAAGCAAGGGAAAAGTTTCTTACATTCCTCTATGTGCCGTCAGAAGGTAAACAGAGCAGATAAGCCTCCGATTAGCACTTGGGGGGGGGGGTTTAGAGTGCTTTTAAGCACATCCATTTGAGCCACAGGGAAGCCACAATCATGACGGTTCCTCTTCTTTTGCACGCACCTGGGTTGGAAGCAGAGGTCCCCAACCTTTCCGAGCCTGCGGGCACCTTTAGAATCCTGACATGGAGGAGTGGGCATGGCCACCAAATGGCGGCCACAAAATGATTGCTGCAGGAGGTGGAGCTGGCCACAAAGTGGCTACCATAGCTGACCTACAGTCACACAGGGAAGATCCTCATGCTGTGGCCGCAGCTGCTGCCAAAGAGACGTTTTCAAAAAATTTCCACGGCCAATCAGATCTCCAGCTGTCAGTCGGAAGCCTTGATGGGCCAAGGCCCTACCTGGCCCCGCCCACTTCCTGAATGTTTTTATGTAAATGCATCAGGAGGTATTGCCACTCATTTAAAGGAACTCAAAGACGCAGCAAATGCATTCCATAATGTAGCTTTAGATAGGCCATTTGACTTATGGGAGATGGTTGCCTGAGGTATCTTGATGGATCCAATCACTTCTCAAGGGTTTCGTTATTGTAGGATTGGGTCAGACTCCCTGTGCATTTTGCATTTTACAGCTCGCCTGTCATTGGGAGAGGAGGTTCCTCTATCGCTCTCTTTGATGTGCCCGGGAGCTTGTCACCCTAGTGATGCCGAATGTTCTGGCTTCTCAAATGTCTGTGATCCTGGTTTCCTTACTAGGGGTGCGTTCAGACAATGTCTGTGATCCTGTTTTCCTTACTAGGGGTGCGTTCAGACGCTCTTTAGATCCGCGAGAGGCATGGGTGCCTCATGGATTTAAATGTAATGTCTAGACATCAACATCTGGGAAACTTCCGTGAGCATCTCGTTTTGCCACGCTGATGGGAAACGTCCATCTTTCGTGAGCATCCCGTTTTGCCGTGCTGAGGAGCCGTACTAAAAAGATACTACTTTAGATTTAGATTTAAATCTAGAGTTTTTGGTTCCGACGGGCCACTCACGGACTTTCCCGTCTGATTGTTCCAGTGCGCAATAAAAAATGGTGCCCGTTCGGGATGGTCTGACCATCCTGAACGGGCGCCATTTTTAAAAAATCTTGATTCTGTGCATGCGCGAATAACCAAGGATGCAATATCATGCCTATGCACATGTGCAAACTTTTGTTTTTTAAAAAAAGCCATCGTGTGCGCGCCTCATTCAGTGGACGCCATCTAGATAATCCACAGCGGAAGCATCCACAGCGGAAGCAGCACACGGTAAGGCGCTTCCCCCGGGGGATGTCTGGTCGTGCGAGGATGGATTTAAAAGATCGGGATCAAATTTGAGCCGGCATAATGGTGGGATTAGCTTTCTGTCTGGACGCACCCTAGGTAAAGGCTACGTGCCTACGAGGGAAGGGGGGGGAGCTGACGGTTCTAGTGGGCAAATACCGTGGGGTGATCTTTAGTGCCTTTACTTGAACCCACTATATCTACAACCTTCATGCGTTTAACTTCAGTCCTAACAATAGATGTGTCTAGGATGATATCTATCAACTATCTCAATAAAGTTAGCTTTCTACAGACTGGCTGGTGTTGAGAACTGATTTAACCAGGAACCTGACAGATTGATTATTTTAATAGTTGGAATGTGTTTCAGTTGTATTATGAATTGTTTGCCTTTATGTTCTACTTGCATACTTGCAACGGAGCCACCCATCTCCAGCCCTTTCTTTGCACCAGATGCAATGAGACAGATGGACACAATTTTAGTGGAGACATAAATGTTCACAGTCTCGGGGGGAAGGGGGGAATGTGGCAGGAATTGTCCAACGTGGGAGACTAGGAACACTTAGGTATATGTTAAAAACCTTGCTCGAAAGCCAGTCGAATCCGACTCTAGGGTTGCGGTGCTCATCTCTGTTTTAAAGCCGAAGAGCCAGCGCTGCCCGAAGACGTTTCCGTGGTCATGTGGCCGGCATGACTAGACACCAAGGCGCACGGAACGCTGTTACCTTCCCACCAAAGTGGTACCTATTTATCTACTTGCAATTTCTTGCTTTCGAACTGCTAGGTTGGCAGGAGCTGGAACTAGAGACGGGAGCTCACTCCGTCATGCGGCAACCCGGGTCTCGAACTGCTGAACTACCGGTACTTCCACAGCCTGCAGTTCAGCATCTTAACCACTTGAGCCACCGCAGCTCCTAGGTATATGTTACCTCCATAGTAATACTTTGAACAGTAGCTTGTTCTTTGGTTCAGTCCCATAAAGCCTCGCAATATAGTTAACTGGTTTCTGTCTAGAGCGAATTGATCTCTGCATAGAAAATATGCAATGCCTTGAGGTTCAACTCTGACCTACACAGTTTATGTTCCTTGAACCAATTGTATCAGCCTCACAGTTGAATATCTAGAGATCACTGTGCTTATATCTCTCCTGCTCTGGCCAGAGCTTCCACCTGACCGATAACCCCATTGGTGGGCAAAGTTTATGGCACCATTAAAGGTGTCAGCAGGTGCCAACGTGCCCATAGGCGCCACAGTCATAGAATCACAGAATGTTAGAGTTGGAAAGGACCTTGCAGGTCATCTAGTCCAACCTCCTGCACTCTGCAGGAGCATAGCCGAAAGATAGCCCTACAACATGCCCGAAAGATGGTCGTCTAGCCTCTGCTTGAAAACGTCCAGCAAAGGAGCATCCACCACCCCCGGCTCAGAGAACTGGGGGGACTTCAAGCTTCTTCTCAGCCCCCTTCTTTTATTCTTACTGATCCGAAAAATGTTACCCCACCATCAGGCCGCTCAGAGTGGCGTACGAAACAAATTGCAACTGCCGAACACGAGCAACGAGAACAAAAGCAACCGCGGAGACCATTCTAAACTGTGAACCTAAAAACCAGCACTTAAAATAAGATTGGCTCTCACTGGTCATTTGATTCCCCTTTTCCCAGAACGAATTCTTCTTAATCTGTGGGGAAACGGCAAAATCTCCAAAGCAAAACAAGACCTAAGTATGCTAATGTTAATCGTGGCTAAATGTCTTATTGCATCTCACTGGAAGGCTGCATCGATTCCATCGCTGCAAGAATGGCACTTGAAGTTTTCTTCATCCTGGATAAAATGACGTACAACCTGGATAAATTTAGAGATACCTCAGGCCAATCTAGTCTCCTAGAGAAACGGCAACCTCTAAGGCTCAAACGTTGGTCTCAGGGGCGGAGGAAGGCTCACTGGTGCCCGAAGCACTGACCCATCTCGGTGCCCCCCTCCTTCCCACACTGACCCAGTCCATTTTAGTGGTTGACCTGTCTGACCAGATAGACAATGCAGGTTGCAGCCATACAAAAATTTATTCATAGGATAACACAATATACTGTACAAACTAAGCTTTTCACCCTTTTCCCAACTTTGTGGTGCCCCCTTTGGCCCTGGTGCCCTAAGCACTGCTTAGTCTGCTTAATGGTTAATCTGCCCCTGGTTGGTCTGATCTCTGAAATGATTGCTATGTTTTGGTTAAGATACTGAACTGCAGGTTGTGAAAGGTCAGTAGTTCAGCAGTTCGAGACCCGGGTGCCGAATGACGGAGTGAGCTCCCGTGTCTAGTTCCAGCTCCTTGCCAACCTAGCAGTTCGAAAGCAAGAAATTGCAAGTAGATAAATAGGGACCACTTCAGTGGGAAGGTAACAGCGTTCCGTGCGCCATGGTGTTTAGTCATGCCGGCCACATGACCATGGAAACGTCTTCGGACAGCGCTGGCTCTTCGGCTTGGAAACGGAGATGAACACCGCAACCCTAGAGTCGGATTCGACTGGCTTTTGAGCAAGGGAACCTTTACCTTTACCTTTACCAACTCTCTCTTCTTGGCCCTCACTGAGCAGACTGTATCTGTTCCTTAGTCTCGCACACTGTTCCACTGCTGGTGTAAATCTGTGTTGTTCCAACAAACGTCTCAGCCTAGTTTACTGGGTTTAGCTGTTCACGCTCAATTTTACTGATGGTTTGTAACCTTATTATACCGTTCAGTAGTTCAATTCTGTATACATTAATGGTTTTACTCTGTTCTGTTGAAAGACTGTAACGTTATACGATTAAATAAAATATTTAAATTTTAAAAAATCAGTTCAGCACACAAAAAAAACACAGTTGCTCACTCAGGAATCTGAGGGATGCCAACTAACTGCCAACTCCCTGAGTTTCTTGAAACAGCACAGTCTGGGGCAGGTTTAGTCTGAACTGAGCAGATGAAAGCTGCGTCTGGGCTTTGGCGCTTGAGTCTGAGGCAGACAGATCATAGGATCATAGAGTTGGAAGGGACCTCCAGGGTCATCTAGTCCAACCCGCTTGATGCAGGAAATTCACAAATACCTCCCCCCCATATCCCCCAGTGACCCTTGCTCCATGTCCAGAAGATGACAAAAAAACCTCCAGGATCCACAGTCAAACTTTTTGTTGTTGTTCAGTCGCACAATCGAGTCCAACTCTTCGCAACCCCATGGACCAGATCACACCAGGCCTTCCAGTCTTCCGCCATCCTCTGAAGTTGGCTCAACTTCATGTCCGTTGCATCTATGACACTGTCTAAGCATCTCATCCTTTGCCGTCCCCGTCTTCTTTGACCTTCAATCTTTCCCAGCATCAGGGTCTTCTCCAGTGAGTGCTCCCTTCTCATTTGGTGGCCAAAGTATTTGAGCTTCAGTTTCATTATCTGGCCTTCCAGGGAACAGTCAGGGTTGATTTCTTTGAGGATTGACTGATTTGTTCTTCTTGCAGTCCAAGGGACTCTCAAGAGTCTCCTCCAGCACCATAGTTCAAAAGAATCTATTCTTCGGCGCTCGGCCTTCCTTATAGTCCAACTCTCACAGCCATACATGACTACTGGGAATACCATTGCTTTGACCATGCGGACTTTTGTTGGCAGGGTGATGTCTCTACTTTTTATCATGCTGTTTAGGTTCGCCATCACTTTCCTCCCAAGGAAATCTTTTAATTTCATGGCTGCTGTCACAGTCTGCGGTGATCTGGGATCCCAGGAACGTGAAGTCTGTCACTACTTCCACGACTTCCCCTTCTATTTGCCAAGGAGTGATGGGGCCGGATGCCATGATCTTAGTTTTTTTGATGTTGAGCTTCAAGCCCACTTTTGCGCTCTCCTCTTTTACCCTGAGCAAGAGGCTCTTTAGGTCCTCTTCACTTTCTGCCATTAGAGTGGTATCGTCTGCATATCTGAGGTTGTTGATCTTTTCCCCAGCAATCTTAATTCCCGCTTGTGATTCATCCAGGCCAGCATTTCGCATGATGTACTCTGCATATATTCATTGTTAATTACATGTACATGAATATGTATTTTATGTAGTTTTAAATTTTTATGGCTATGCCGACTAGGTACATTGTACCGCTTCTGTTAGCCGCCCTAAACCTGTTCGCAGGATGGCGGGGTATAAATATAATAAATAAATAAATAAATGTATTTCCATGGAAAATAACTTCCCCACGTGTGGAAAACTGGATATCAATGGAAAGAACTGTACCATAGCTCAGTGCTTGAAAGGCTACATTTCTTCAGGGAGACACTAGAACTGATACAATCAAGAAGAGGAGATTGGATTCATACCCTTCCCTTCACTACCTGAATGAATCTCAGAGCGGCTTACAATCTCCTTTCCCTTCCCCTCCCCTCCCCACAACAGACACCCTGGGAGGTAGGTGGTGCTTGTGAACTGCCCTTGAGAGAACAGCTCCAAGAGAAATTGTAACTGTCCCAAGGTCACACCAGCAGCTGCATGTGGAGGAGTGGGGAATCAAACCCGGTTCTTCCAGATTAGAGTCCGTGCTCTTAATCACTACACCCTGCTGAGATTCTCCTTCCCTCCCAGCAAGCCCATGCGTAGCAGAGATCCCACCTCATCTTTACACGTTCCACTTCTCCACCTTCCTGAAGTGAATCAAAGACATTATGTCTTGGAAGCCAACCTCACTAAAATGCATTTGATGGATTTTCAAGGAGCCACGCTCAGGATCGTGCAGCTAAGCTGAAACGCGCAAGGGACAAAAGTGAGCTTTAAAAACCACCTACCCAAGCAAAGGCGATGCAGGTATGGTACATGGGAGAAGAAGGCGGGACGGCAGCTTTGTATCTGTTCAGCATGACTAAATTGGCAAGTCCGTTAAGGAACGAAGCAAAGGCAGAGGCGGGCTCCTGAAAGAACAGGAAACGAGAGAAGGGCCACTAAGGGAGGAAAAACAGAACAAGAAGGGGGGGGAAAATCATCAACCACAAATGCAAAGAGACGTACATTTTTTCCAGAATGATTTCAGGGACTAAAGCTAGGATACCCTAAGGCAGGGGTGTCAAATTTATTTGTTATGAGAGCCGGATCTGACATAAATGAGACCTTGTTGGGACGGGCCATGTGTGTCATAAAATGTAATGCCGGGTAGCGGAGATATAAACACAAACACAAACGGTTTTTTTAACTTAAAATAAAACATGCTTAAAACATCAACACTCTTGCAATATTCCGTTTATAGTGTCTGATAAGTGACACCTCTTGCTCTGAATTATCGCATCAAAATGTCTGAGCTGCTGCAATCTTGAGTCTGCTGTTCAGGTGTGTATCTGTAAACTGCAAACCTACAATAACACAGCGGCAGCGGAGCTGGAAGAAGCAGCAGAAGACAGCCAGTTCCACTGTGGGCCTGATAGAAGCCCTCTGGGGGCCTAATCCGGCCCCCGAGCCGCATGTTTGGCACCCCTGCCCTAAGGGGTATGCACCGCCGTACAGCAAGGTCCCTAATGCGGAGGGTGACAAGGAAGACTGGTTGGCTAGCCTTCTGAGTGAAGCACGTGGCAAAGAATGGTAGCACTGTACTTCCTTGTTTAGAAAAGCTGCTGGTCCTCGTGGTTGTGGTGGAGGCCGCTTTAATTAATTAATTAATTAATTTGTTTATTAATCGGATTTCTACCCCGCCCTCCCGCTGAGGCGGCTAAAAAAACCCTCCCGCCGAAGCGGCTCAGGGCGGCTTACAAGCAATTTAAAACCAACATACAATTTAAAACCAGCAAATACAAGATTTAAAATACAATTCCATACAATTCCAATAAATACAATAAAACTAAATAAATAAATACAGCGGCATCCTGTAATAAAGTGCTAGTGTGACCCAACCGGTGCAGTCAGTTCTTATTGGAACGCTTGATGAAACAGCTCAGTTTTCATGGCTCTACAGAACTGCTGGAGGTACCGTAGAGATCGGTGGGGACCTCATTCCACAGCATTGGCGCCACCTAGTTACCACCAACCTGGCGTCCCTAGGCCCAGGGGGGGGCAGGCAGTGTTGTGTTCCAGACCGCAGTGCTCTTGGGGGAATGTACAGGGAAAGGCGGTCCCTCAGGAGGACCAGGGGTTCTGATGCTTAGAACGGGTGCGGGGGGAAAGGTCCGACTTCAGTAGAAACGACTGCAAGATACGACTCCTGAACAACCAGCTTTCCTCTCTAGTACAGACGCTGTTATCGTTGTGAGAGCCCCTGAGCCACTGTGGCAGAGGCTTTAAACTGAGGGACTGAGAGGGCAAGCGAGGAATCCTGCAGCAGAACCACCTGGAGAAGTGAACTCGGTGTGCCGGGAAGGGCCAAATCTTGATTCGGGCCAGGGGTGGGCAGGGAGATTTGCTAAGCTGCTGGCTGAAAAACAGAGTGATTAAAATGTACAATTCGCTGTCAAAGCGATGTGGCAATGGCCACAAGAATAAAAAAGCTTTAAAAGGGGATTAGATAGATTAATGGAGGTGAAGTCTATCAATGGCTTCTAGCCGTGGTCGCTAAGGTGAACCTCCACAATCAGAGGCACTAAGCC